CCGCATGGAATATGTCATTTCCACTCACATTCAATTGGCCAAAGCGAGTCACGTGGCCAAACCGGATTATCAGTGGACAGGGGAGGAAATATTCTCCTACAAGGGCAGGCAAGCCATATGGCGTCAGGTGGGGGTGTGAAATCCTCTTTCAGGGAGAACAGTGAATAATTGGGAACAACAATTTAACCTATCACAATTCCTCTTCTCTCTTCTTCTACTCTCCAACTTCTTTTATATTGTCAAGCCAGAAACTCTTTACATACTTCTTTATAGCTATTCTTAAGTAGTCTTCAGTGCTTTGTTGTTGATTTTAGAAGTTGAAAGCCACTAAGCAGCATTTACATTATGACTAAGCAAATATTCTTTACTGCAGAGCCAAAGAGTTCATATCATGCACCACTGTTTCAATGACAGACCCTATGTGCTTAGAGCCTTTCTTACACTCCACCACATGCTCAAAATCAGGCCACATTTTGGACTGCTTCATATTCGGGCTATCCCTTTCATAAGAAATATTTTGTTTTTCCAGAAGTTTCCAATTATGTTTCTTTTTTCTTGTTGATAGAAGAAAATTTGCCTTCTACATCATATCCCTAATATCCTCCAAATTTCTTCCCACTCCATTTATTGTTTGGACTCTTTTTTTCCTTTTGAAGCCTGCTGTCCTTCTGACCTGATTGGGCAAACTGCCTCATTTTTTAATCTTAATGCTTTTGCATGGCTCTTTGTCTTTACTGCAATTACTAATTGCCTTCTGTTTTGTTTGGGTGGTTTTTTTGGCTTGATTTCTGCTTTTCATTACAAACAATTTTTTGCAGTGTCCTAATAATACTCTCTACTCTCTCGAATGTCCTTCTCTCATGTCACCTTCAGAGACCTCTTTCCTTCCACTCTAATGAAAAGTAACTACTCTCTGGTTCTGCTGAATAATTTCATCCTGGGGTTGCTTTTCATGGCTACTCTGTATAGGATCCTCTGTTTCCTGAATCTCATATCTCCTTTCTCGGTTTACTCCCTTACTTTGTTGAAAAACCTCTTCAGGAACTTCCTTCCAAAGGTTTAGTAGGCTGTAAACTTCCTTGGTCCTTGCATCCTCAGGCCTACTTCCTTTTTATATTGAATAAAGGCTTTGGACCAGATGTTCTCTAATGCCTATTCCAGGAGTATAATTCGAGTCTATATGTATTTGTGGATAACGTACTCTTTCAAGAAGACATTTAAAACAGTTGCTGCTCCCAAGGAATTTAAGATCTACTTAGATAGACAAAGAATAAAGTCTCAAAACAGCAACAAAAAATCTATGATACAAAAGATGCCGGGAGGTGGGACATGATTAATCATCAGTTTGAGACTTGGGTCTAGAGGAAAGAGAGAGAAAAGAAGCAGAGCCAGCCTGTGGTGCTCTTATTTAGCAAGCAAGACTTTAGCAGCATCAAAGGTAGGCAGTGTGTTAGGAATAGATTGTTCCTATCTGATGTCCTGAGTCCAGTGGAGTGGTTAAAGGTCAATGAAGGTCCTTCTCCCTTTGACTTTCCCTGTCACTGAGATATCAACATTTTCGTTTCACCAGATCAAGATAGATATAATTTTTAAATACAAAAGTATAACGATACCCTTGACCACTGGACAAACTCTCTGGCCATTTGGGGGCGTAACAATGAACTTTCATTACAAGTATGAATAATTGTGTATATACTTATAAACACCCTAATTGTTGGAACATGAAAGTACCAACGGTGGTCTTTATTAGTAGAGTTTCACTGAGTAGGACTAAAGATGACTCTCTTTACTAATGTCCATTTGTAAAAACTGTTTTTCATTGTTCCAGTGAGGAGTTGGAGTGATTATAAATCACTTCTCCTTTCCAGCCACTCCCTAAGAGAGGGCACATCCCACTCATGATATGAGTGTTATCCGAGAGCACTGATGCTTGGGTGGAGAAGGCACTGGGGAATTTTAAGGATGGGGCTTCTCCGTGGCAGGTCCTGAAGACTGAATGGACATGAGACACCTACATCAGAGGGAAAAAAAATAAACAAGCCTTCATTCAGCAAAGACGGCCCTCTCATCCAATCTGCAATCAAAGAGAGTACTTGCAGGGAAGGAAGTTTCCAGAAAAAAAGAAGAGATCTTTGGGCCAGTGGTCTCAGCAATTTCCAGAATGGGAGTTTAGTGTGATGGCAAGTGCTTAGGCCATGTGATAGATCTTCTCAGCAAGGTCTAACCTAACACTACTCCCTCAGGGAGGCTTTCTCTGAGCCCCCTTCCTTCACACCCAGGAAGAATTAATTTCTGCTACAACACTCTGTTCCTGCTGCCATCCTAGCACTTATCAAATTCAGACAAAGTTGGCATCAATTTTCCTCAACAGTCTATGACATCCTGACTGATTTATTCATCATCACAACCCCAGTCAATGCCTGGCATGTGGTAGGTGCCTGTGTTGGTCAAATGAATGAGAATTGAAAGAAGCTGCATTTCATCAAAGGGCAGAATCAGCCATGAATATTCAGTTGTCCCAGGAGCTTCAGACTAGCCAGCAGGCCTTGGAGAAGTGGATCTGGGCCAAGTGGTGGATTTCCAAGAGCTGGGGCCATTTAAACCATTCCTGGGAGAGGAGAGCAATAAAACCACCTGCAAGATTGGTCTGAGCTGCTTTGTTGCCTGGGACTCCACTGCAGGTGGAGAGGGGAGCAGAGAGATCAAAAGCACTCAAGGAGCCTTTGCTTCTGAGTAGTCCAGAGGGCAGTGCTGCCCCTGCTGCAGCGACCCCCACCCAGAGATGGGACCAGTGCTCAGCTCTGCAGAAGAGCAAGACGGACCCACCATCCCCAGAGAGCTTCCTATGCACAAGACACTGGGCTTTAGGTAATCACGTTTCATCCTCTCAGTAACGCCAAGAGATAGGTGTGCCTGACTTACAGATGAGAACCACCATTAAGGATCATTCTGTGTGGAGAGGAGCTGGAGCCTGTGCACCCAGGAAACTGTACAATAGCAACCAAAGCAAAATGAAAAAAAAAAAAAAAAAAAAGCCAGGATTATGTCACTGAAAATTCAGAAATCTGTGCACCTAAAGCTCACCTGTTTTATTACTTTTGTGGTTTGCATGTCTTCCCTTTATTTTCTACTGGTTTCTTATAATGGTTTGTTTTGTTTGTTTGTTTGTTTCACAAAAATCCCATAGGATTCTGATTTCACAAAGGGAAAAGCTGGATCCCCAGGGCAAAGAGTCAGGGGTCAGCGGAATGGACGATGCCCTGCAGCCAATGCTGTCAATGCAGCAGGGCTAAGGCTAGGAAAGGCACCTAGTGAGGGGAGACACAGGAGGGCACACCTAGGTGCATGTGTGGGCAGCTGCTGTCTCTTGGGGCTGGTCTCCCACAAGGTGGTTTCCTCGTGCAGCAGTGACTTGGTGCAGCCCCTCTCATCTGGCACCAATGCATTTGTTTCCTCAAAAGACCATAGGGTGGCATTTACCTCACCACTTAAAAAAAAAAAAAAAAAAAAAAAAGTGAATCAAGATGCATGCTGGCTCAGGAGGATCTTCATATCCGCCAGAGGGAGGGGCAGGCAGTCTCTTTTTACTCCAGCAGGTGGGAATTTCTGATAAAACTAAATTAACATCAGCTTGTCTCCTTGCAGTATCTAAATGTGCAAAGAGAGCTGATCTGATGACACCAGCCAGGGGGACAGGCTGCTGGAAGCATCCCAGGAGACAGAAGCCCAACTAAAGACCACCTAACTTACAGCTCAGATAGGCTGCTCCGCCAGCCTACTTGTCTTTGGGGTAGAAAGACAAGTAAGCTCGGAGGGGAAAGTGAACGGGTCCTGCGTGGGTGGCTGTGGCCTTGGCTATCACTGCAGCAGAGGCCCCTGCTGAGCAGGCTAAGAGCGAGCAGACCGTGAGAAAGGCCAAAGTCAAACTGAAAAACCCTTCCAGCTGGCCTCTGCTCTTGGGAACTTGGAGCCATACGCTGGCAACGGGCTCGGCGACAGGGGCACGCTTTCTCCCGGAGAGGGCACTAGGGCGCCTGCCTCTTCGGGCGGGCATGGGAGAGAGGGGGGCACCTCCCAGCACGTAGGAGCAGCCAGTGCCAAGCTGGAGGAGGGGAGGGGCGTGCAGGCAGAGACTTGGGGGTGGAGTTAAGGGAGGGAGGGTCAGGAAAACTTCTCATTCTCTGCCTCCGTTCACCCTCCCGCACCATCTCTGTAAGGGGCCTCCGCTTTAAAACATGGGACATAGATGCCACCAGAACCCCTGTCGGCTGCCAGAGTCCTGCACAGAATTACATCGGCGCACTCTCTACTTCTCAGGAACGGAAGGGATCCGGGGGAGCTATGGGTTCATCTCTGGCCACGTGTATCCAAACTAATAAAATCATCCCCCATCCCCCTGGAGCCGTGCGGGGTGCTCGCGGAAGTGCAGGCACCCCTGAATGAGGCGAAGGAGACTCTGGCTAGAGTTCTCGTCCCCACACGGTCCGCATTCCGCGAATCAGAGGGGTCTGCGGGTGTCTCTAGCCCAGTTTGTCCCTTTTCCCCTGCTCAGCTGACTTCGACGCCCGGGAGTTTGATCCTTGCCACCGAAGCCCAAGATCTCCTTCTGCCTCAACCCCATTCCTTTCGGAGAAATGGGCTCGCGGACCGATGCGCGCGACGGAGAGGAGCGGCAATCGGGACGCCCGGACTGGAGCCCTTCCCCGAAGCCGGCAGAGCCATTCCGGCCGCCGCCTCGGGCTCCAACATTGGCCGCAAAGTTTCCGCTCTTTGGGGCCCCGCCTGCGGGTCGGAGACCCCAGAGCAGCCTCTCCCCTCTAGGGTGCCCACTCCACGAGCTTCTGCCATCTGCCAGGGGACGCCGGGAGCCGGCGGGCGCGCGTGGTCGCAGCACTGGAGCGCGCAGCATCTCCAGGAGGTCTCCGGCAGCGCCCGCCTCTCCCCCTACGCCCTCCCGCTGCGGGGTCGAGATCGCAAGGGTCGCGACCGCCGTGTCTTACCCAGTCCCGGCACGAAAGTGTTGAGGAAGAGGCAGATGACGGCTACGGGGAAGGGCATGTAGGGGATGGCGGCGCGCAGGGGGCCCTTCTTCTCGCGGACCTGCACCACTACTCCGCTGGACGAGGACGCCCCCCGGGGGTCCGCCGCCGCCACCGCTGCCGCCGCCGCCGCCGTCTCGGCGTCTTTGTGCGAGGGCTCCATGGTCGGGTGTGCTCTCAAGCAGCCAGGCAGCACGGCCGGAGCTGGCGCCCAGCGCACGGGAGCAGGAAACGGCCGGCTGCGGGCTCCGGGCTCAGCGCCGAACTCAGGCGGCCGCAGTGCTCCGTGCGCCGCGCGGCTCGCGGAGACTCCCGCCCTCCGGCGTCCCCACACGCCCGGTGGAGGGGCGGGGAGGGCGGCGCGACACCCTGTGACAGCGCTCTGACGCCCCTCCTCGCCAGGCCCCTTCCCCGTCCCCTCCCCCCAACCAAAACCACCACTCACAAGGAATGGAAAATCAGGGCGAAGGGAAGGCAGTGGAAGAGAACCGCAAGGGGAGCTGGTTGCCCAGGTGCTGGAAGGGGTGGACACACCTCGCCCTCCAGACAGGTGAACGGGGAACCTTGACCACGAAGCCCTGCGAACTGGGAGTGTGTGCTTGGCTGACACTGTCGGGAAAGCCTCAAGGCAGAGTCCCCTAATCTAGAGTATGCCTTTGGCCAGGGACATGGGGACAAGGGATCGCGCGGCGCCTAACACCTAGTCGGCCTTCAGTGCGTTGTGATTTAAATGATTTTGTTTGGGGTGAGCGCAGTGGCTCCCACCTGTATTCCCAGCACTTTGGGAAGCCAAAGTGGGAGAATTGTTTGTGCCCAGGAGTTCAAAACCAGCCTGGGCAACGTAGCGAGATCCCCCCCAGCTCTATTTCGTTTAAAAATTTTTTCACTTAAAAAAAAAAATGAGTGAATTTGTTTCAAGTGTCAGAGAAAAAGCAATCCTGGGATCGGATCGATAATAGAGGAAACAGATTTTCAAACACCAGGCCAGGTCTCCGCAAGACTGGTTAAAAATAGGACACTTCCCTACACACACGCACCAAAAGCAGAAAGAAATGCGCCTGTTGCAGGCATGTTGGGAAGCGTTCACCATCCCCTCAACTATGCTGGAGGAAACCTGGGCCTTTTGTGAACCTGACGTGGTGATTAAAGAGCCAGTGAGGACACAGCGCCGTCTGGCGTTAATAATGGGGCAGCTGGTAGAAGCAACAGCCGGCAGCTTGAGGTCCTGTATTGAATTCGATTTTCTGAATAAGGCTGCCTTTGCCTCCGCACCTGGGAAAAGTAAACGGATGAAAGTTACCGCCTCTAACGTTAGGGAGGGGTTCAAGGCTTCAGAATTATCCAGACAACCAGCATATCGTCTGAATAATTGGAAGGGTGCAATATCCTCCCTTCAGGAATAATAGTGATCGACTCTATTATTATAAACAACCCAGGGTCTCAGAAGAGCCTAAAAGAACAAGGGTTATTGTATAAGTCTCTGAATAAAATAATTTTAAAAGCAAATGACCAGGGGTTAGTGATGATACTGGTGGGCACACACATGCATGTGTACACAGACACAGACACATACACACACACACACACGAGTCATTAGCTTAGGTTTGGCAGTCAGAAGAACAGGGTTAAATTTTTAGTCTTTGTTCAGCCACTAATTACCTGTATGGCTTAGAAGAACTCGCTTAGCCTTTTCCAGCCTGGAGTTACTGTGTTTATTAAAATCAAAGCAAGATTCCATTTAATACACACTTATTGAAGGCCTAGTAAGACTCAGATTCCAGGGAGAGAGAAATGAGTAAAATCCAGGCTCTGCCTTCAAGAATCTAAGAAATGAGCCGAGAGATACTAACAACTACAAAGACAGACTTACAGAGACAGTGAGGAATGTTGCAGCTGGGATGTGTCGGAGGTGCTGCGACAACATGGACCTATCTGTGAAGCCAGCTAGCGTGGGGGAGGCCTCAGGGAGGTGTCCCAAAGAAGGCGATACTCAAAGGGACTTGAGCAATGACTACAGTTAACTATTTGCAGATTTGTTTTATTTTCAACAAACCCTTATTTATCCAAGCACTCTCTGCCAGGCATCATTCTAAACCCTTTACACATTTTAACTCTTTTAATCCTTACCATAACTGTACAAAGTATTATTTATTACTCCATTTTACAGATGGGGAAATTGAAGCACAGAGAAGTTAAACAGGCTGCTACCCACTAATCCGTGGTAGAGCTGGCAGCTGAATGCAGGCAATCTGGCTCCAGAATCAATTCTATATAACCATTATTTTATTCAGAGACCCAGGAAATAACCCACATTCTGTGAATATTCTTTTGCAGAGCACTTGAACTGTCTTAGGGCCAGTCAATCATTCCTCCTGAAGAAAAAGGATTTCAGGGAAGTCAGTGGATTTGCATCCCCCAGTTTTCCAGATGATTTGCTGAATATCTTGGATGTCAGGAAGACATCCAGGCAGAGCAACAAAATGTACAAAGGCATGGGAGCCCAGGGAAGTAGGGATGATTCCAGGAATTGCAGTGTGGCTGGCACTAGGGCTTGTGTGGGCAGAGACAGAGATGGATCTGGTGGGGTGGCCAGGCATCTAGTACTGAATGGCAAAGGAATTTGGACTTCATCTCGGTGGTGGTGATGCAGAATCACTAGAACATTTTAAGCAGGGTTGTGGCATAAGTGTTTCAGTTACTATCACTGTGTCACAAATTACCCCCAAGTTTAGCAGCTTAACACAACCATTTTTTTCTGATCACAATTCTGTGGTCAGGAGCTTGGACAGAGCACATTGAGATAATTCTTCTTTGCTCCTTATATCTGGAGCCTCAGCTCGGGAGACTGGAATGGCTGACAGTTGGAACAGCTGGGGCTAGAGGACCAACTTCTGAGAAGATTCTCAGGAATATCAGCCTGCCTGGACTGGGGTAACTTGAAAGCTGGGTCAACTAGGATGGGTCAGCAAAGCACCTACGCATGGCCTCCCCATGTGACTTGGACTTTTCACAATATGACAGCTGGCTTCTGAGAGGGAACTTCCTGAGAGGAGGCCCTCAGAAAATGAACATTGCAGGGCCGGTGGAAGCTGCGTGGACTTTTCTGCCCTAACTTTGGAAGTCACACAGTGTCACTTCTGCAGGGCTTTACTGGTCAATGCAGTCACAAGCCTGCTCAGATTTCATGGTAGACACCCCGCCTCTCAATGGAGGGGTGTCAAATACTTGGGCCTAGGCTTTTAAACCACCACCATTATGAGATATATTTGTTCACAGTGTGGAAGATGGGCTGGAGGGGATAAAATCAGATCACATGCTTATGTAGAGGCTGAGGGGGAGGAGGACTCTTCCTGACTGAAAAGGACTGAGAATGGGGGAGGGACAGTTCCCAAATGAAAACTGGGTAGTATAGCAGACAAGGAGGAAATGAGTTTGAAGGGTCTGAACACATCCGAGAGGTAGCGGGCACTCATTGATTAAATGGCCAGCATAGATAATTGTCTTGATAAAAGTTGGATATTGAGTCAAATTGAGAATCAAGAAAGCAATTGGGGCTGCAGATTTGGGAGCCATCAGCATACGAATGGTAGTTACAGGAGTTCAAGACCAGCCTGGGCAACATGGCAAAACTCCATCTGTACGAAAAATACAAAAATTAGCTTGGCATGGTGGTGCACACTTCTAGTCTCAGCTACTCAGGAGGCTGAGGTGGGAGGATCACCTGAACCTGGGGAGGTCGAGGCTGCAGTGAGCCGTGTCACACCACTGCACTTCAGCCTAGGCGACAGAGTACGACTCTGTCTCAAAATAAAAAGTTATAGAATTTCTGTAATTAAGCAGAAAGGAAGAAGGAGGGAAACAAAGTTTACATGGAGAAACACTAACAGTGTTTCATGGAAGCCAAAACAGGAAAATTTTAAGAAGGATGCAGTCAGCAGTGTCAAATTCACTGAAGGGTAAAGTAAAATCCCAAAAGTGCCCTTAAGATTTGGCAGTTAGGAGATTTAACTATCTGGGATCCCAGCTAAAATGTCTCACATGCTATGTATCTATTTTCAAGGAATGTGTCCATTTCGTGGAAGTTATGGAATTTGTTGGCATAAAACTTTTCCTACTTTCCTCTTATCTTTTTAATGTCTGTCAAAGCTGTAATGATGTCTCCTCTTTCATTTCTGATATTGTTCATTTGTACATTCCTTTTTTCCTCACTGCTCTTGCAAGAGGTTTATACAACATCTACTTGACGTTGTGATTGCAGCTGATGTTTGTAGGAAAGTTGAAGATCTAAGGTATTTCAGGGAAGAAGAGGCTTCCAAATAAAAGTTAAAACCTTAAATGATCATCTCAAAAACACAGACACAAATGCAACAGGGGAAACAGACCAAACAGTTCTTTACACGAGCCAAATAATACATCTGGGCCAAGCATTGGGTCATGAAGATAAAAATATATTTCTTAGCCTTGTTCTGTCATCAGATGAATAAAGTACATCAAGTTTTGGACTTTTTTTTAGCTAAAATAAAAATTTGCTGAACTCAACTTCCAAACTGCATGAGGAATTCATATTCCAACCAGGTGCCTCCTTTTTCGCAAAGATTGGTATCATAGCATCAGCTATGGAAAGACAAACTTTGTTTGAAGCTCTGAGCTTTTGAAAAAGTTTTTTTAACCTCTGAGCTTCAGTCTTCAAAATTGCAAATAATACCTAGCTCATTTGTGTATAAGAAGATTAAGTGAGATAATATGTATAAGGCACTCAATAAGTAAATGGCAACTGAATCAGAAGCTTTTTCATGCCAAGTGATGGAACACAACTCAAATTTAGTTTATGGGGAAAAAAGTATGGATGTAATGGCTTTTTAATGTATCAGCTTGGCTAGGCTCAACTCTAGCCCACAGATTTCTCTTTCTAGTTAGTTTCCATTTATGTTGGACCAATGGGAATATTCTTGCTCAAGAGTTGGAAGACAGAAAGGAGGCAGCAGCCATTTTATAATACTCACACACCTTCCCTGAGACATCTAATCAAATGCAAATCTGGGTGTTTCAGTGAAGGAATTCTGCAGATGTGATTTAAAGCTCCCAGTCAGGTTGGGTGAGGTGGCTCACATCTGTAATCCTAGTACTTTGGGAGGCTGAAGCGGGTGGATTGCTTGAGCTCAT